GGTGTGCATCTCTCACTAGGCAGTAATTTCTGGAAATATGATGCCTTATCTATTGGGTAAGGGTATGAGCATCTATCACAGAGCAATCTTCTGGTTGCTGTTGTTTGATACAGGGTCTCATTACACAGCCCCAGCTGGCCTAGAACCCACTCTGTAGACACTGCTGTCAGATCTGTCTGCCCCTGCCTCCTGAGGCGCACCATCACACCTGAGCAGAGAAATCTCCTTAAACATCCTTTATTACATTTGTTTGTTTGTTTATTGTTGAAGGCACTAGTATAGAGGTCTTTTCATCATGTGGGACCCGGGTCATCAGGCTTGGCAGCAAACACCTTTACCTGCTGAGCCATCTTGCTGACCACACACAGCACTCTTTGAAAGTCCAGATCTCTCTTCCTTGTCCTGAAATCTGTGGCATTCGTTTTGAATCCTGAGTGGACTTCAAAGTCAAGATTACTTTTATTATTTTGATTTTCTTTGGTATGGGGGGGTCTCATGTAGCCCAGGATAGCCTTAAATTTGTTGTGTAGTAGAGGATGAACTTGAACTCTTAATCTTCCTCCTTCCAGCTTCTAATACTAGGAGTAAAGGAATGTCCCCACCACACCCGGGAAATGTCCAGGGAGTGCTAGGATGCACTCCTCCCCTGAGGAATGAGGAAGGACAGAAATGTAGTCCAGAATAACTCAGTCCAGATCAGCTGCCATCATGGGTGTGGGAATGTGGAAAGTGCTACCCTCAGCCTGCTGTGGGGTAAACCTTGCTCTCCAAAGATGTCCTTATCTCTTGGGGGAGAACTGTCAATGAAAGTACTCATTCTAGCAGGATCTGATGGGAGGAAATGCAAAACTAGAGGTCAGAGACCCACCTAGGTCTCTCTTTCCTTAACTAGCCCCTCTTTGGGACACAGTTTCCCTGTGTGTTAAATAGAGAAGTTGAACTGTTTAGTACCCTAAGTCTATAGTTTTCTATAGATCACAAAGCACGGGCTCACTGAGATTTTATATTGTGTTAATTCCTCAATCAAGAATCATCAGTGACTCTCTGGCCATGCACATATAAATTCCTCCCCAGTGATGGAAATATAAAACACTTAATTCTCTTACAGTTTGGTTGTACACTCCAAACATTTACATGAGAGCTGTCTGGGAAATTGAGTCAAAGGAAATGGTTCCTAAATCCCTCCTGGGATCTAAATGGAAAACAAGACAGGCTATGACATCAGCTGCTATTTCCTCTGTGATCAAACTAAAGAACACAAATATCAATATTAAATTATGTATGCATACTTCTTTATTTTTGCGCTTCAGTGCACATCACAGTAAATCCTTTGCTCTTAGCGTTTGGCTCATTATATAGAAAGAACAGGAAACATGGTGAGCTTGGAAATACAGCATTTTAGAGTTAGAAGAGACTTCAAAGATGTGACTCAAAGCATTCGGCATCCAGATGAGGGAAAAATAATGAAGAATCGAAGATGTGAAATGACGCCATCTAATACTGACCTCTGGAGGCATCATATTTTTATTTTGCCTCACCTAAACCCACTGTGATTGGATGACGTCATCACCTATATGCTTAATAGATATAGATTTAGATACAGATATACATAAATAAGCACTATTTAAAAGCCTAAAAGGGGGAGCTTATTTTTACGGGTGTTCTCCAAGACAATTAGAGAGGCCATGCAAAGAGGAAAGTCCAAGTTCACCAGGATGGGCATCCTTGACACAGAAACAATCCCCTTAGACCTGATCCAGACTAGTAAACTGGGCTGCACAAGCCCATTAATACCGCTCGGTCACTCCAGGCACCAGACCTTCCTAAGGAATCTTCATATGAATTACACTGCCCTGGGGCTGAAGAGGTGCCTCATACGTCAACAGCATTTGCTGCTTTTGCAGAGGACCCAAGTTCAACTCCTAGCACACACAAGGAGGCCCACAACCATCTGTAACTGCAGTTCCTAAAGGTTCAACACCTTCTTCTGACCTCCTTGGGCACCAGGCACACACAGGATGCACAGACATCCATGCAGGCAAAACACTCATAAAATAAAAGTAAATAAATCTAAGGCAGGTGGATCTCTATAAGTTCAAGGCCAGCCTGGTCTACAGAGTGAGTTCAAAGACAACAAGGGTTGTTAACACAGAGAAACCCTGTCTTGAAAAAAAAGAGAAAGAAAGAAAGGAAGGAAGGAAGGAAGGAAAGAAGGAAAGAAGGAAGGAAGGAAGGAAGAAAGAAAGAAAGGAAGGAAGGAAGGAAGGAAGGAAGGAAGGAAGAAAGGAAGAAAAGAATTACATTGCCTTTTAGCAGGCCAGACATTTGCTACATGGACATAAACAGGTGCCTCTTTAATTTAACAATTCAAGTGTCTAAAAATCTACAATTTTTTTCAATAAGGATAGTTTTTGGCTAATTTAATCTGTTCTGTGACCCCAAACTACTCAAAAGATCTCAGTATAAGAAAAACAAAGTATTTCCACATCTAAGTGCAGTCTAAGCTACTAGAACTATGTAATTATTTCCTTCCAAATATGTTTTGCCCCACTTTTCAGATAGATGGGATAAGCTTATTGATTTTTGTTTGTTTGGTTTGGTTTTTTGTTTTTAGAGACAAGAGTTTCTCTGTGTAGCTCTGGCTGTCCTGGAACTGGCTCTGTAGACCAGGCTGGTCTCGAACTCAGAGATCCACCTGTCTCTGCCTTCTACATGCTGAGATTAAAGGTGTGAGCCACCACGTGTGGCAAGATCTGCTTGTTGTAACATTCTTTCCTACTTAGGAGAATATACAAACTGGCAATTTTATTATCTGTTTTAGTTTGGTTTTATTGATGTGGTAAATCCCATAACCAAAAGTAACTTGGGAAAGAAATACCTTATTTCAGCTTACAGCTGTACTCCATCACAAAGGGAAGCCAGGGTGGGAATTCAAGGCAGGAACCTGGAGGCAGGGACTGAAACAGATGGCATGGAAGAATGCTGCTTGCTGGCTCGTTCAGCTGGCTTTTTAATACAACCTAAGATCAATTGTACTGCTCATAGTGGGCTGGGCCCTCCCACATCAATCATTAATCAAGAAAATGTCCCCATAGGCTTGCCCACAGGCCAATCTGATGGAGACATTTTCTCATTTGAAGTTCCATCTTCCCAGATGACCCAAGCTGGTGTCAACCTGACAAAAATCTAGTCAGCACACTATCTGACCACAAGTGATGATATTTCAACATTCATACACTTCAAACTCAGTGATGCAATCAGAATTCAAAATGCAGATTGTCAGAACTGGAGGGAACTTTAGGGAATCATATGCCTTCCCTTTGCTACAAAAAAAGTGAGGTTGCAGCCAGAGACTTGTCCCTGATTATGTAGGCAATGGGAGGCCTTGTGGAGCATGATCTCTCCTCCTTCTGAGGCACTCTCTCAGGAGGGCTTGGCTGGAGCTCTTCCTTGGGAATCAGCCCCTCCCACACCAGAGCTGCTTCTGCTAGTCCACTGTATGAATTATAGATGCAAATGTTCACTAAGGCTTGAATAAGCAGATGAAGGGTTTTTTTCTCCCTAACCCCAGGATCTTACATGCTGTCAATCAGGAAGGTAGATAGTTATGCTAACACTATCAATTGCTCTTATAGTAAATGATTGTTCTTATTTAACCCCAAATTCATTGTTGCTATGCAGTGCGCCCTCAAGAAAAGCCAATGTGGCACTGAATTATGTGAAAAATTAAGCTGTCTGATTTCATGTCTGAGAACTCAACGGTGCACTTGGTTTCCTCTCATCTGTACAATGTTAATCAGATCGAATTGGGCTCACACTTGTGGTATTCCAAGGTCTGCATCAGAATATGTAAGGGTCAGCTAACTCCAAAAAGGAGGATACAGAAACGATTTGGGAAACGTTAAAACCTCAGTCTCTGGAGTTCTAGACATCAGTAGGTATGAAATGCACTAGCTGAGGATGGTGACCTTGAACTGTTTGTTTGTGGGGGTTGTTGTTTGTTTATATTGGAGTTGTTTGTTTTTTGAGACAGCCTATCTAGCACAGATTGTCCTTGTAATGACTTTGTAGCTCAAGCTGGCTGCAAATTTGCAGTGACTCTGCCTCCTGTGGGCTGAGATTAAAGGGTGCAGGTGTGAGCCACCTTCCCACTTTGACCTTGAACTCTTGATCCTCATTCTGCCAGCCGTGTGCTGGTTAGGTTTGGTCACCCTGACACAAACTAGAGTCACCTGGGAAGAGAAAACCTCAATTAAGGAATGGCTTCCACCAGATAGATGGGCTTGTTGGTAGATTTGAGGGGCATCGTCATGGCTACTAATTGACGGAGGAGGGCTTAGCCCACTGTGGGCGATGCCACCCCGCACGTGGTCCTGAGTTGTTTAAGAAAGGAAGCTGCTCCAAGAGGAGCGCCCCTCCTTGGTCTCAGCTTCTAGGTTCCGGCTTGAATTCCTGCTTTGGCTTCCCTGGATGATTTACTGTAACAGGTTAGGTGAAATAAACCCTTTCCTCCCCAAGTTGCTTTGATGGTGTTTATTACTACAGAAAACAAACAGCCATCACACCAGGCTTATACGGTGTTAGGGCTCGAACACAGGGCTTCATGCATGCTAAAGTAAACGCTTTGGCAAATGAGCTATATTCGCAACTAAGTTTTTTTCAGGCTGGTGCGTTTTGATTTTCAAATCTAGGAAATGAAGGTTATGATGTGCAATTCGCGCAGTACTTTGTCGGGTACTCTATAAATGCTAGCTAGCTATTATTACTTATGGTGGTACATATGCACACACCTCTCTATTGGACAGCATAAAACAACTTTACAGGTAGCACTCTGGGTTCCAGCCCCGCGGTCGACTATCTAAGAAACAATCGGGATCCACTAAGGTTTGCGATTTGAGACTTAGGCCGCCCCCTTCAGGTCTCTCTGCTTCCTATGCACGAGGGCTGGATGAGGTTTGACCCTTGCAGGTTCCCGTCACTCGACGGAAACGAGGGTGGGACAGGAAGTAGAGTCTGCCTGAGTTCGGGTGGAAGGCGGCCACTGGAGGAGAGCAGGGTGCAGCGCCTGCAGGCTTTGGAGAGAGAGCCGCAATGTTCCGGATCGAGGGTCTCGCGCCGAAGCTGGATCCCGAGGAGATGAAACGGAAGATGCGCGAGGATGTGATCTCCTCCATTCGGAACTTCCTCATCTACGTGGCCCTGCTGCGAGTCAGTGAGTGTCCTTCGCGCTGTGGCCATGAGGCCACGGGTCCACCCCACCCCTG